ACTGGAACTGTGATATTGGCACAGCCTATAGCTGCCCAGATACTGTTATTAAATGACTAAAGTAATTAGTTTAAAACGCAAATTTGATTACTAATTTCCGACTGCAAGCTAGGGTAGCTCAAGTCAAGTCTAGAAATTGACTCGACTCGTCTTAAATCAGTGACTCGACTTGACTCGAGTGAAGCCGCTGACTCGACTCGACTCGACTCGAGTGAAGCCACTGACTCGACTCGACTCGACTCGATCAAAAACTGAAATGACTCGACTCGACTCGTGACTCGATCTTTGAGTGACTCGACTCGTGACTCGACCTGTAGGTGACTCGTTACAACACTGGGACAACCTTAATTGAATTAGCTGCATATAAATTATTCTATCCAAGTTCTTCAAGTAGAGAGCTGTGATTGCCACGTGCTTGCATGCATAGGTCGTTTTGTGTTTGTTTTTGTGCTTAAAAGAAAGGATATCGATTTATAATTTATGAACTCCAGTTCCGACTTCCAGTGGCGAGCTAGCCTTGGCAACAGATCATGCTGTGCTAATAACCTGAACCTAAATAGTTTAAAGACAATACATTTCTAAAGGTTTGAATAATGCTAATAATTAAAAGACCGATTTGCATGACATGACCTGTTGCTGTGGGCTTTGGCAAGCTGCATGCGCTACCGCCGAATTCACAGGTTTGGACCAATGTTTGTACAAAAGATAAACAGATTTTGTTCAAAGGCTCGGAAATTAAGTGGTAGCCAAACTCGCACAAATTTACTACGCTTTATTCGATAGTATTTTTGTGAAGGCAGTTAATCTTCAAATCGCGAGGTTGAGCCAAAATATGTAAACAAACAACGCCATTGTCTACACATGCGCACAACAGGCAAGACTGCCGCTTTAAATTTCTAAAAATTTTACTTTTGTCTTTTCTTGCTTTACTTACAAAGTCGCGTTCTGAAACTGTGTAACATTATCATAAACAACATTATTCATGATTTTTTCTGTGTTGGTGCAGTGTACTCAGGTGAATATGATGCTTGCGATGTTACTCTGAGTGTATCCACTATCCACACCGGGCAAGCTTGAAAAGTATGCCTGTCCACTGTGGGAATCCAACCTACAACCTTGGGAATACTATTCCAACTTGGCAGAGCATTGGGCTACTATTTCAAAGCTCGTAGGTTTGATTCTCACCGTGGACAGGCATATCTTTCAAGCTTGCACGCTGTGGATACACACTCAGAGAAACATCACAAGCATAACATTATTCATGCACGGTTCTGCAAGGAGTGTTGCCGAAATTTCAGTCGTATATTGACATCAGGTTAAGAACGAAAGAATGGTTTTAGAAAAACGTTACGGTTCCTATGGTATCCAAATTGTTAACAACCTTATATAGCTATTCCACGTCAATTTCGTCATCATGGCTTGACTTTACTTATAGGCCGAATGACTAAAGCTCGTCTAGAAAGGAGGTGAAACTCTGAGTAGCGATATTTAATTTTAAGATATAAACAATTTAATTCGCCATGCTATCATATTAGTATATTGAGCAATTATATATCTATACAAAAGATATTATATAACCATACGCATGGTCCCTCTTTTCTTTAAAACCTTTTTTTAACATAGACGAGCTGGAATCTGAAGACAGACTGAGTGAAGATGAAAATCTAGAAGGTCTGTTCCGAAGACCCTGTAAACGTCAGAGTGGGCGACCCGGATGTAAGGGATTTGTTAAAGAACCATTTCGCACACCAGCCAAGCGTGGATACGAATCGCCAATACTCCGAGGTGATTATCTTAAGAAAGAATAGAATAAAGAAGAAAATTCAATATACTACTTTGTTACGACTATATTCAAATTTTCAAATTTTCTTTACGTTTCCAATCGGCGAACAAACTTAAAAGGTTTATTTAGTGTTTTAACTGCAAAATAATGCTAAAATGGAGATATTTCAGACGGTAATCCAAAGAAACAATTTTGTCTGCAGTTTAGCAAAATTTTCGCCGTACATATGACATCAAATTTCGAGAATCATTGATACTTTTTAAATATTATTTTATGTTTCTCTACTGGCAGATGCATTTATATATGTTAATTTTGAATGCTTCTCATCGCAAATATGCGACATAGAAACATGTCCTCATAAAAATCATGACGGTATTAATTTTTAGGGATTTGTAGATTTCTTGCAGTTCGTAATAGAAAGGATAATTTTATAATAACAGTCATGCCGTTTACTATTAAGCAAATAATCCATTAAGTACAATGTGCAAATAGTTCTAACTTTGTAGGTTTATTGTAGTGCGTAGCGTTCATCAGTAAAGCTTGAACGATAATTTTTACATTTTTATAATGGCTACGTATACGACATTGAGTGTATATAATCAATGAAGCTTTATGTATACAACTGCTGGAACGATTTTGTATATGTGCAGGTTAACAACTATAAAGCCTGTATAATTATACATTAAATATTCAGTTCAGGAGATATTGAGATAACTGTTGTCCCCTTTTAATTTATTTTAAAACCTTTCTTGACATAGAAGAGATGGAATCTGAAGGCAGAGTGAGTGAAGATGAAAATGTAGAAGGTCTGTTCAGAAGACCCTGTAAACGTCAGAGTGGCCGACCCGGATGTACCGGATTTGTTAAAGAATCATCTCGCGTACCTGTCAAGCGTGAATACAAATCGCCAATATTCCGAGGTGATTATCTTTAAAAGAGGATGAAATAAAGAAGAGAATTCAGAATGAAATCCAATTTCAGCTAAGACTCAACATCGTTTAAGTTTTCGAAGACTGATTCTATAAGGAGATTTTTTATCTATTAACTAACAAAAATATAAAATACTACTTCGTTAGGACTACATTCAAATTTCCAAATTTTCTTTACGTTTTCAATCGGCAAACAAACTTAAAAGGTTTGTTTAGTGTTTTATCTGGAAAATAATGCTGAAATGGAGAGATTTTAGACGGTAATCCAAAGAGAAAATTATGTCTGCAGTTCAGTAAAAATTTTGCCGTAAATATGACGTCAAATGTCGAGAATCATTGATACTTTTCAATTAAATATTATTTTATGTTTCTGAACTGGCAGATGCATTTATTATAAGAAGGTAACTAACTGAATAAACTAGAAAATGAATCTAAAACAAAGTAATTTTGGGAATTGCAACAAAAATATTTTATGTTGTGAATGCTTTTTATCGCAAATATGCGACATAGAAACATGTCCTCGCAAAAATCATGACGGTATTAATTTTTATAGGGATTTGTAGATTTCTTGCAGTTCGTAATAGAAAGGATAATTTTATAATAACAGTCATGCCGTTCACTATTAAGCAAATAATCCATTAAGTTCAATATGCAAATAGTTCTAGCTTTGTAGGTTTATTGTAGTGTTATAGCGTTTATAAAGCTTGGACGATAGTTTTTAAGGATAATTTTATAATAACAGTCATGCCGTTTACTATTAAGCAAATAATCCATTAAGTTCAATATGCAAATACAGTCAATGAAGCTTTATGTATACAACTGGGTTAGGTTATCAAATTAGGTTAACAAATATAAAGCCTGTATATACATTAAATCTTTCAGGAGATATTGAAATAACTGTCGTCCCCTTTTGCTTTTAAAACCTTTCTTGACATAGAAGAGATGAAATCTGAAGACACAGTAAGTGAAGATGAAAATGTAGAAGTTCTGTTCAGAAGACCAAGTAAACGTCAGTGCGAACCACCATATTGTCTCGGATTTGTTAAAGGACCATCTCGCGTGCCAGCCAAGCGTGAATACAAATCGCCAATATTCCGAGGTGATTATCTTTAAAAGAGGATGGAGTAAAGAAGAAAATTCAGAATGAAATCTAATCTCAGATTCAACATATCGTTCAGTGAGGTTTTCGAAGCGGAATGATTTTATAAGGAGATTTTTTATCTATTAAGTAACATGCGCCAAAACTAACAAAAATATAATATACTACTTCGTTAGGACTACATTCAAATTTCCAAATTTTCTTCACGCTTCCAATCGGCAAACAAACTTAAAAGGTTTGTTTAGTGTTTTATCTGAAAAATGCTAAAATGAAGAGATTTCAGACGGTAATCCAAAGAGAAAATTATGTCTGCAGTTCAGTAAAAATTTTGCCGTAAATATGACGTCAAATTTCCAGAATCATTGATACTTTTTAAATTTTAAATATTATTTTATGTTTCTCAACTGGCAGATGCATGCATTTAGGAATGTAGCTAACTGCATGAACTACAAAATAAAAATAATCTAAAACAAAGTACGCAATTTTGGGAATTGCAACAAAAATATTTTTATCGCTTCCCTTAAAATTAATTGTACTTTATATGACCCCCCTCCACGGTAATTTGCAGTGCTGATGATCTCCGTTTTCTGTGATGCGAGAACAAAACACTAAACGCCCATTTGGGAAAAATAATGGCTGTGTGCGTGCGCACACGCCGGTTTATTGATAAATAATGTCCAATAAATTATATTTACATAAATGAAATAACAGATATCACAGAAAAGG